AACATTTAATTAAATCTAACATTATATCATACTTGATCTTAAACTACAAATTCATTTTTACCCTGAGGCATTGAAAATAAATAGACCTGAGGGCTCATTTTAGGAGCTGAATAGAAGACTTTCATTATCCAATTCGAAGTTAGAACAATGCAAGTACTGATTTTAAGACAAAATTAGATAACATCGCTACCCAAGTCCGGGAATTTTTCTGTAAATGATTTTATCAACATTAGATATATTAAGTATTCGGTTTTCAGGTCAACGTCACTTGTAGGTTAGTTTTATTTTATCGGAAATATATCAACTATGAAGAAAAAATACTGACTTCTGTAACACTGCTACAAGTACTACTAGTACAAATAGTAATAATAATAATGCTGTACACAAAATCCATTTTACACTGTTCGAACAGCTGAAGTCAAAATTAATTTTAACAAAGATCTTCCAAACCTAAAATGTCTTAACACTTGGTCAAGGAACATGCACTTGTAAAGAATGTTGAAGCCGGAATTTTACCTGCAAAATTCTATGCAACGATCATTGGAAAATGACAATATTACCTTAAAAAATTACAAAGTTATTATATCTGCACTGGGGATGAAGATAAATTACATCTGAGTCCTATGTAAGACGATAAACTAGATCCACGACCCGGGTGAGACGATCAACTACATCCGCGGCCCGGGTAAGACGATAAACTACATCCGCGGCACGGATGAGACGATAAACTACATCCACAGCCCAGGTAAGACGATAAACTACATCCGCGGCCCGGGTGAGACGATAAACTACATCCGCGACCCGGGTAAGACGATAAACTACATCCACGGCCCAGGTAAGACGATAAACTACATCCGTGGCCGGGTGAACGATAAACTACATCCGCGGCCCGGGTGAGACGATAAACTACATCCGCGGCCCGGGTAAGACGATAAACTACATCCACGGCCCAGGTAAGACGATAAACTACATCCGCGGCCCGGGTGAGACGATAAACTACATCCGCGACCCGGGTAAGACGATAAACTACATCCACGGCCCAGGTAAGACGATAAACTACATCCGTGGCCCGGGTGAGACGATAAACTACATCCGCCTCCCGAGTGAGACGATAAACTACATCCGCGGCCCGGGTAAGACGATAAACTACATCCACAGCCCGGGTAAGACGATAAACTACATCCGCGGCCCGGGTGAGACGATAAACTACATCCAACAGCAAGCCCTCTGATCAGAAGGTTTTGATGTGCAATGAAACCACCTCTTAATTGCTGGTGTTCCCAGGTCCGAGGTTAGGGTTCCAGCTATGGGCAAATAGTTAACTCCCCAAACTGGGGTCAAAACACTATGAAAGTGTAAAAATAGGTTTTAATACCAGAAATAGATTGTAAAATTTTTTTTACTAGCAATACTTTTTTGAAAAAATATTACCAGCAAAGGAAAATTACCAGAAATAGACTTTTGAAGGAAAAAATATTACCAGAAATAGATTTTGGGAAAAAAAATATTACCAATGAAAATTTTGTCGCCATAGGAAGAAGAGAAACTGAAAATAAACGTGACATCTTTTTTTTTAATTTCTGTGTCCACCTCCAGGAAGTAGTTGATCATGGGTTTCCACATCTTCATGTCTCTTGTAGCTCTTAATAAATATTGTCTCTCTAGTATTTCTCCTAAACCTTGTTCCATCTTCCATTTACTCAAGTTCACTAAGTATATAACGCGCTATTTTTCTCTGTCTCTCTTGCCTGTCCTCTGAGTATCAGATTCCCCAAGCCTTCTTTCCTCCTTATTTGTCCTAGAAATCTCAATTGGCTCTTCTTGATGTTAAGTATATGTTACATTTTTGTTTCCATTTTTTAAAATTTCGTCGTTGCCCACATGTTCAATACATGGTATCAAAGTAAATCATTGGCGAAAGCTAATGATCCTCGCTGGATACAAAATGGCGATGATGGAAAAGGAGAAGTAACAAATACTGATTGCAGAGAGCAGCATTTCATTAAAGGTTGCCAATATTCTAAACGTTTAAATGATAATAACGCTGTTTGGTTTCTTTTATTTTGTTTTAGGGCATATCGACCTCAATGGGTTATTTAATGTCGACAAGATTTTTAGGATAGGTTCGCATGAATAGAATATGTATTCTTTTGGGTTAGTTTGGTTTCGTTTATTTTGTTTTAGGGCATATCAACCTCAATGGGTTATTTAAGGCCGTCAAGATTATTAGGATAGGTTCGTATGAATAGAATATGTATTCTTTGGTTTAGTTTGGTTTCGTTTATTTTGTTTTACGGTATATCAACATCAATGGGTTATTTAATGTCGACAAGATTTTTAGGATAGGTTCGCATGAATAGAATATGTATTCTTTTGGTTTAGTTTGGTTTCGTTTATTTTGTTTTTACGGCATATCAACCTCAATGGGTTATTTAATGTCGACAAGATTTTTAGGATAGGTTCGTATGAATAGAATATGTATTCGTTGGTTTAGTTTGGTTTCGTTTATTTTGTTTTACGGCATATCAACCTCAATGGGTTATTTAATGTCGACAAGATTTTTAGGATAGGTTCGTATGAATAGAATATGTATTCATTGGTTTAGTTTGGTTTCGTTTATTTTGTTTTACGGCATATCAACCTCAATGGGTTATTTAATGCAGACAAATTTTTTATTGCTAGTAATATTTTTTTCCAAAAATGTATTCGTGGTAATTTTTTTTTTCAAAATATCTATTGTTGCTATTATTATTTTCTTCAAAAATCTATTGCAGCTAAATATTTTTTTTTTCAAAAATAAATATCTAGTAATATTTTTTCTTCAAAAAGTATATTGTTGGTAATATTTTTTTCGTCAAAAATAGATTGCTGGTAATATAAAAAAAGATTTTCAGTCACCAGAGTGAAGAGCTTGTTTTGTAGGCGAACTTCTTTTGCGTTCGAAAACCGATCGATTGCTTTGTAGATATAATATATAGATAACCAAGAAAGGAAAAACGATCCAATGCGACGCTGAGATCCGAAGACGTATTGAGATGTCTAAAGACGCATTCCAAAAGCTAGGCAGAGTATTACGAGACAGGAGGATTTCATTGGTCACAAATAAAAGAGTACTGAACAGCTACGTGATATCTGTTCTCGTTTACGGCAGCGAATGTTTGCCGGTCTCCTCAAAGATGAAGAAGAGACTCGAGACAATGGAGGTATGGTTCTGCAGAAGAATGCTAAGGACACTATGGACCGAACACATGAGCAACGAGGAGATTTTGTAGAGGATGCAAACAAGGAGGAAGCTTATATTTAACATCAAGAAGAGGCAGCTGAAATTTCTGGGACACATAATGAGAAAAGAGGGCTTGGAAAATCTGATATTCACGAGTCGAATAGAGGGAAAGAGCGACAATGGAAAGCAACGAATGATATCCCTGGCGGGACTGAACAAATAGATGACAGAATGTGGTCGGGGGGGGGGCAGAGGGACGAAACTTATTGAGAGCTAAAAAAGAAAAGGGGGAAGTGGAGAACCATGATCGCCTACGTCTTGAAGAGTCACGGTACATAAAAAAAGGAATTCCAGTCACCAGAGTGAAGAGCTTGTTTTGCGCTCGAACACCGATCGATTGCTTTGTAGATATAACTATAACATTCCCTTAATGTTATGTTTAGAATAATATGACACGCATACTACTCGTCAGAGTATGCCGGGTTATTTACACATGGATCGGCAGTTCTGACTTTGATGAGAGTATCTATCTGCTCCGTCTAAGGTCAAAGTGTCACTCCCCAGCACTTCTATCTAACATCAAAGTAGTAGCTGTTCCCTGTGTGAAAAGTAATACACAATAAAAAAAAAAATAAATAAATATTCTATTTTTTTATTTAATTCCTAAAATCTTCCTTGTTCTTACTATTCTTCCACTTCTGTCTTTCCTCATCCTACACAACTCCTTTTTTTTTTTTCGTTTTTTTTTATTCTAAATCTAATTGTTCTTTCATTGGATATTTCTTTTTCACTACTTCTTATGTTTCCTGTTTGTCTTTTCTCTTCTTGGAATTCATTCGCTGAAACACTTTTTTAAAATCAGTTTTAATTCATCCACTTTCTTTCTTCCATTTTTTTTTTTTTTTTTTTGGGAAGGGTTTTTATTTTCATATTCTTCTTCAGCCATTCTTTTTTTTTATTTTATTTTTTATCTTTCATATTTCTTTCATAGATTTTTCCCTTTTTCTTTTGCTGCTTTAATTTCGTTCAGTTTTAATTCATCCACTTTCTTTCTTCCAAATTTTTTTTTTTTTTTTTGGAAGGGTTTTTATTTTCATATTCTTCTTCAGCCATTTTTTATTTTATTTTATTTTTTTATCTTTCATCTTTCTTTCATAGATTTTCCCTTTTTCTCTTTATTTTTTTTGCAGCTTTAATTTCGTTTTCTGACCATCTTCATTTTTCTTGTTTACTTTGTTTTATTTTCATTTAATATTTTTAATTTATTATTTTTCATTTATTATTTTTCATTTCTTTTTTTTTTTGTCTTTTATATTTTCTTTCATCTCTTCCCCTTTTTCAAATTTTTTCCTTTTCTAATTTTTTTTTTTTTTTCTCTTTTTATCGTTTTGTACATTTCTTTCTTTCTCTTCCTTCAGATGTCACTCTTCGAAAGCGTCACCGTGTTTTTCTTTCGTTTTCTCGATATTTCCTCATCTGCTATATGCAGTCCGTTCTTCGCGATCCTCTTCCAATCACTTTTCCCTATTCTCTCCGTTTCAGCTGCCGTCATCGTTGCTGGCGTCGCCCATCTCCTGTCACCCGTCCGATAGAAAATCTCGCGTTTGACAGGTTTCCCTCTGTGTGCCCTTCGCCTCCTGCCAACAGCAGATCGCGAGAACCAATCTTCTGTGCCTCGCGAGACAGACAGACGGTCGACAGTTGACACGAATATCGCAATAGGATAGGAAAGGGGGGGGTGACACAGTAAAGCATACAAAGGGAGAAGAAACAACATTTAAAAAGAAAGACGCGTAAGCAAGACCAAAGAGAGCCAGAGAGAGATAGAGAGAAAATAATACATTGCGAGAGACATAAACAATAAAGGTATCCAGGTTGTATAGAGGGCTTCAAGAGAGAAAAACGGTAAAGAGACAAAAGTGAAAAGAACGGTAATTACAGTGGCCCCTAAAGAGAAAGAAAGAAAGAAAAAAAAAGAAGTGAGAACGCCTAACAATGAACGGAGAAGTTAGTCATAAACGAAAGACAGGAAGTTTAACTCAGAGAAATAAAAGATATAGAGTTCTAAAAAGCAAAAGCAATTTATGTGGGCAACAAGAAGGAAACGGAAAAAGGGAAATATACAAAACCTGAAATGGGGTGACGAAACGGTAGATCTAAATTAAAACAAATCAGAATCATATTGTTATATTGATTGAAATCATGTCCAAAAATGTCAAAGATGCTTTGAAGAAGAAATAAAAGCAAAATAAATAGACGGGGTAATTACAAACTTGCTTGAAATGAAAAAGGCAACCATAGGTAAATTACGATGTATTATTAGGACAGATTTTTTTTTTTTTTACATAATATAAAATATGGATGAATGACTGATTAGCATTTACGATACCCTTTTCCGTCAGGGCGTAGACGATCATGACTCCTCACTGATTCTTTGGAAAATTAATGAAGGAACTTCCAGTTGCCTTTTCCACGGTTTGAAATCGAAACTTTTCATTCTTCTGAATATTTTGCCCACCGAAGCTAGAGACTTTCCTTAGACAGGGAAAAGACGGATTCATGACTCATTTATATGAGAAAATGAAAAAAAAAAAAAAAACTAACAAACTTGGTGAAATGCCATGTTCAATTTACGAACCGATATCCGCTACACTACCTGCGGAACGCTAAAAGGCTAACGAATAAAGAAAGAAAATAGAATTAAAAATTAAAATAATAAAAATAGTTATAGATTAAGAACTAGACTGAGAGGGGAAGAAAGAAAGTAAAGATGAAAAAATATGAGTGATATCAAAAAGTGGAACGGATGGAAAGAAACAACTGTTAAATTAAAAAAAAAAACAGATAGAGAAATAATGAATAAGAAAGGGCGTTCTTTTATGTTCTGAATCGAAAAATATGAAAATAAAATAAAATATTCTACCTTATAAAATAGAAGAGAAAATAATTGATAGATATCTAAAATATGCCATGGATCAGATAGATAGATAGATAGATAGATAGATAGATAGGAATTTGGTAAAAAAGAGCAAAAATAAAGGTAAAAATGGCAGCGGTAAAAAATAGCAAAAGGGATAAATATAAAAATGGCAACGGTAAAATGGCAAAATGGATAAAGCAAAAAAAGTAAAAATAAATAAACAGGTAAAAAAAAACGGTAAAAATGGCAGGGTAAAAATGGCGGTAATAAAAAAAATGGATAAATAGGTAAAATGGCAGCGGTAAAAATGGCAAAAAATGGCAAAAGTGGATAAATAGGTAAAAATGGCAAAAATTGGCAAAAATGGATAAATAGGTAAAAATGGCAGGTAAAAATGGCAAAATGGCAATAGGTAAAAATGGCAACGGTAAAAATGGCAGGGTATAAATGGCAACGGTAAAAATGGCAAAAGTGGATAAATAGGTAAAAATGGCAGCAGTAAAAATGGCAGGGTATAAATGGCAACGGTAAAAATGGCAAAAGTGGATAAATTGGTAAAAATGGCAACGGTAAAAATGGCAAAAATGGATAAATAGGTAAAAATGGCAGCGGTAAAAATGGCAAAAGTGGATAAATAGGTAAAAATGGCAACGGTAAAAATGGCAGGGTATAAATGGCAACGGTAAAAATGGCAAAAGTGGATAAATAGGTAAAAATGGCGGCGGTAAAAATGGCAGGGTATAAATGGCAACGGTAAAAATGGCAAAAGTGGATAAATAGGTAAAAATGGCAACGGTAAAAATGGCAAAAATGGATAAAAATGAAAAAATGGCAAAAGGAAAAAAATATAGATAAATATCTCACAATGAGTTTATTAAAATCTTGGATACAATACATAATGGAAAAAACATGAGAAGTTTGTCAAATTAAAAAGAATATTCAGCTAAAGCTCCCCCCTCCCATGAGATTTCACTTTTTAGGCGATTACGTCTGAACACACTGAAAAACTTTGGAAAAAACAATTATAGGTCCACTTAATGACGGCTTCTGGTATTGAAATCAGAAACCGACATTAAGCGGTGTTTATCGGAAAACAGTTCCTCATCAGTTTTGTACATTTAGAGTGTTTTTTTTTTTAATTTCACTAGTTTGAACACGTGGGAATCAGTAATGCAGTCGAATAAAAAGCAATATATTGGATACATTATTACGATGACGTTTGATATATTTAAATTTTGTTACATTTCTATTTACAGTATAACCCGGATATAAGGGACCCGAATATAAGAGAAACCCGGATATAAGAGAGATTTTCTCTGGTCCCAAATTAGAGCTTGTGTTAATGTATATAAAATAGACCAAACCCGGATATGAGAGAAACCCGGATATAAGAGACTTATTCTCCGGTCCCGATAACTCTCTTATATCCGGGTTACACTGTATAAAAAAACTATTAGACTATCTAAAAAATAGAATAAAGTATTTAAAAATGTTTTCAATATAAACTATTTAAAAAGTATTTTCACACAAAAAGAAAAGATTACAATTATAAAAAATAATGAATAAACTATTTAAAAAATATTTTCAAAGAAAACATTTCTATTATAAAAAAAAAAGTTTTATTTGATTATTTGTAAGAAAAAACAATTAAAAAAAATGTTTTGTTTCAATGGGATTCCTAACCTTCGCCTTTGCGATTTTTCCGATTCCGATTAATCGTCCCAACACTAATATATATATATATATATATATATATATATATATATATATATATATATATATATATTTATATATATATATATATATATATATATATATATATATACACACACACTAATAGACTTATATATACACTAATACACTTATTTTATTATATATATATATATATATATACACTAATGCACTTATTTTATTTTATATATATAAACACTAATACACTTATTTTATATATATATATATATATATATATATATATATATATATATACACACACACACACACACACACATCTAATCCTAATGTCAGCTATCAATTATAACATTAATTATAATCATCAAATTCACTTAAACACGCTACGATTTGTGCTTTTACTGCAATTAGGAGTAGGGACCTAGCGCCCCCACCCAATAAAACTTCTAAAAATCGACATTGAAAATTTTAAAAATGTTTTAATACTTTTCCGCTGCCATTTTTTCCGCTGCCTTTTTTACCGAGCACCCCAAAAGAGATATATAAATGGAACGGCGATAGATAGATAGATAGATAGATAGATAGATAGATAGATAGATAGATAGATAGATCCAACGGAGATAGATAGATAGATAGATAGATAGATAGATAGATAGATAGATAGATAGATAGATAGATAGATAGATTCCATCATCTGTGGTAGATAGATGAAATGAAATTCCAAGGAAGAGAATTTAAATAAGGGACGATTAGAAGATAGAATATGACAATGGTGTGTAAAAAGTAAAAGTCGCCGATTATCAGTGAGCGAAATGTTGAGCAGAGGTACGGAGGACTGGAAAAAGGTAAGAAAAAAATCATATACCGCAATTAGACATTAAATATTTTTACCCACTCGTGGAAAAATAATTATTTTGAAATTATATAAAGAGACAATTTTATATAAGGAAAAAGGATCACCACAAAAAACGCGATACCTAACGTTTAAAATGAATTTAAAAAAAAAAAAAAACTTTCTTGAAGCTTGAATTTCGATCTAATAGATTAAATTTAATATTTCCAATAAGGGACATACTTCACTGTGTTTAAGAAACTAATTTAAATTGAATTGAATTTTTTATTGCTGTTGTAACCTAGAGAGGGTTACTGAATGAGGAATAACCAAAACGGAGGTTCGAAATGAAATGATAATCTTTATAACATCAACGAAATACAATACTCACCAGCAGTGTGAAGTAGGTAAACCACTGCTAGTGGTGGACTACTTATACAGCACCCTACCCCCACTTACAATAGTGTCCAACGTATTTATGAAGATTGGGACATACTCATTAGTGTTCATAGGTACGGTATACAACAATTGCTAAAATAGCTGATTAGCGCCCCTTTTTACTCAGCTTTCATCGCAATGTAATTGTCTTTAATAAAAAATATTCCAATAGTAAAATATACTTTTACCAATATCAGCTGATTTAAAGTATAATCAATCTAATTTGAAACATATTATTTCCATCCAGCGTAAAAGACCGCAGAAATGCAATTTATACCAGACAGTAGCTGCTTTTTAACCGACAGTGGCAATGTTCACATGTCTGACAAGATTGATTGTCGTTCCACGGAGAATCTATTTGTAAAACACAATTTACGAAAATGGCGTGAGTGTCTTTTTATTTCATTTTTAAGAATACGGTAATCTTAAAACTTTAGGAAAAATATTCTTCATAATCTAATGTTTTACTGAATTTTAGAAATTTTGACTTTGATTTACATCGCTCATATTTTCTAATAATTTCGTATATGGTTGTCCGTACATACCAAAAATGGCACGTTTATACACTAATAAAAACAATCAAAATTATTTATAAACTATTGGTATCTGAGGATTTGTATTAAGCTTTTCTATTTATGATTAGTAAATATGGTTTCAATTATTGACAGAATCATCAAGACCACTGAAATTAATACAGAATTTTAAAAGTTTTAAAACTTAATAACTTTTCTAATTAAAGTTTAAAAAAATAAAAGCAATTCTAGTAAAAGTTCATTATTCATCGAGAAAAAAATTCAGGTAATATTGTCCTTGATATATATTATTTAGAGAAACATATTATTTGGAAAATTCATGAAATTAAAAAAAGTGTGGGTTAGCAGATTTAAAAATATATATT